ATAAGGTATCAATGAGATTAAAAGACATTATCTATATGGCTTCAAGATTTCACAGTTACAGGAAAGCAAGTAAGATTTCTAAGGCACAGAAACTCTCCTTACATTATTTGAAAGTTGGAAGGCCACTGCTAAGATGAATCTTTTATTAGGTAAAATATGCTGTAATTGCCTTCAGCAAACTTTCTTACTTGTTTGATCGGATGAATCAGCTTCGTTTGAGGATGAATTCTAAACTCATCAGATTGTGAGTGCACTGTGTTTGGGAATTCTTGTCTCCCTATTGGCCTGCAAATTTGCATCTCACTTTGTGCACAGTGAAGATAGGAAGCTGACAGATGACCAGAATACCTGTGGCATGAGTTTCCTTGCTGGTGGCTTCTGTGTTATGGCAGAAAAGAAAGGGATTTACACAAGGCTCCTTTCCTGGAGTTTATGTACTGTCGTTCAGTTGTCAGCAATGGGTACATATGTAGAAAACTTAAATTCTGGCGGCAGTGAACTATGTCTTTCTTGTCCATTATCTGTTAGTAGCCCCCACGTGACAGCATTTCCTACTCAAACCCTGTTGTGGCTGAAGTTCTCAGAAACAAGTTTTATTTTAGCCTGTTCCAATTTAGCTACTTTTCTGATGTACTGTGCTGTCTACATTTTGAACACTGTATGTAAAGAGCCCCACAGAGGCACAGAATGACACTCACTTTCTGACCAACAGACCACTGACAAGGAGATGACGCTTCGAAGGAAAGCCTCGTTTCGTTAATGAAAGTGGGAATGAGGTGCCCCGACCTCAATGGCTGTGTATGCCAGTGGCTTCTCTCACTGGTATCTTTAGGAGCAGCTCTAGCACGTCCCTTCTGTGGGGTGGAGCTTCCCAAAAGCTTAATGCTTTCTCCTGACCTCCAGGGAGCCTTGGGTGATACCACAGAGCTTTGGCCTGGCTGAGAGAAAGTGCAGAAGACACGCCCTCCCCTACAGAACGTGACCATCACCACAAGTCACCTTGTGAATCCTGCTCTTGAGCAGGGGCTCTGTTAGGCAGCCACAGGGAAGTCTGTGGGGCTTCAAAGCGAAACACCTTTTAAGAGTTTGCACATATGTTTGTGTAATTCCACAATGTCAGCTGGAGGCCTGAGATGTCTCAAATGGTTTTTGTGGTGCAAAATCCCACCTAGCTATAGTTCTGCTAAAATCTTTAGCTGTAACCACAAAGCTTCTTTCTAGATTTTCTCTAGTTTAAAAGACTGAATTTAGACATTTGTGTAACTTTTACTCACTACAAGTAGTCATGATAGGGAGGAATCAACCGGTTTGAGTTTAAAGAGTGAAGTTAACCCCAGCTATTTCAAACAATAAATCTGAGCCCAAAAAACTTATGCCTTAGAGTAAGTTTTTTGTAATCATATAACTGATTGTATCCAGTAAGCAATGACCACTTTACTTTTTTCTACCATAATAAAAATATAGAAATGGAGATCTGTGATATTGTGCCAATTTAATTGCTTAACACATTTGGTATCATTACAACTGTTCTCCTGAGCAGACAAGGTCTCCCTCCTGAGAGATGTTGATGCAAGAAGGCCTTAATAAACCAAAGCTGAACTGGACAGCACCTCACGAAAAGCAGCTCAAGGATAGGATAGTACCAGATGATTTCGCAACTCTTAGCATGGCAGTTCCTGTTCAGGGTTTGTTTGTGGGCAGGTATGTTGACTCTGGAGGCAGATTGGAGCCCTAACAGTCATTTTCTTCTCACACTACACAGAGAGGCCCTAGGCAATTACCACTTGAGAGTTTTTGTGAGTCAGTGTTGTCCCACTGGGGAAAACCAGGGTAATTTGCTAATGATTTCAGAGCAGTTGGGCGTGTTAGAGCTGGCAACACGGTGGTCATTAGACAGCAGACGGTAAGGAAGAAGCAGGTATTTTCTCCACTGAGAAGCCTATAAACCCCTTGTCTTGCACATGTATTCACATGTGTCCATTCACGTTTTGTGCACCTTTACAGTCACTTTCTTTGACACCAATCTCTCAGACAGACTCCAAGTGCTAGTGCTTAGTCTTACAGCAAATCCTTCTTCACCCAATGCTTCTTGAGGAAACTGTAACCTCACAGTGGAACTAAAAGGCTCAGAAACCAAGAGGGAACAAAGAAGTTATCATGTTTGTTTCAGGCATTACAGTTTCTAAATAGCTTTTGAGGTAATTTTTTCTTCACTTTTTAGGGACTTAATGCAAGAAATATTCCATATATACATAATAATCCACCCAAATCAAGTGACAGCCACTGCACAAAAACGAACAATGAGTCATTAGTAGAGCAGGACATGAGCTTGTATTTTTGGAGTCCTTTTCTTCTGCCTTGGTGACAGGACCAGCCTCTTTCTTTGTATAACAAACATGTGATAATTTGGTCTAGACTCTTTTATTCTAAACCACAGACAGACAGGAAGGAAAAAATATTCGAGGAATGAGCCTGCTGTGCAACCCCATTTTTTCTGTGCTCTCTTTAGAGGAACAGAGTAGGGGCAAGAAGCAGGCCTTGCAGCAGAACATGCTCTGGAAATATCTTAAATAAGGCCCAGAAAGCTGGAAGGTTCATTTACATTACAACCCCATACTTGGTTTTGGGATAGTTATTTACTCTTTCATACAACAGTAAATGGGAGAGAAGGTAAACCATATTATGACAGCAGAATATTTTTTAAATCATCTGGGCAGAAGCTGTAGGAGTAGTCTTTGTAGGTCTGTTCCTTTCTTTTGAGACCTTCTAACCAAACTACAAGTTGTGGGTGGATAGCATGGGGTGGTAAATGACAGACAAAAATAGCTCTCAATATGAGAAACTGCATGGCCTCTGTGGCATGCAGTAAGGAGAGTGAACTATGATGAAGATGAACAGATATAAGGTATTAATTGCTATGTGATGGTTAATTAATATATCCTCGGGTTGTAATAGTCTTAATTAAAAAAAATATATATATTCACTTCAGCAAGATTAATTTCAAGATATGATACTGTTGAGAATGAGCATAGGCATTAGAATTCTGGTGCTGGATAAATTTGATCCATGAAGTTGATGATATTCATCTGAGAGAGCTTACCATAAAAATGCTTTTGTAGGGGATCTGGTTTTGTAGCCTACTAATAGTGTAATGAAGCTGAAGGGAACAGAAGTGTTTCTGCTATCTGTAATATGAGGATCTGGGGCCTTGAGATCAGCAATTCAAAATTAATGAACACAGTTTATACATTGCCATACTCCAGTAACATCTTACCCTTGACATTTTTTTCTACCTGGAAAGCCCTTCTTACAAAGTTTGTAGCAACATCTATTTTTTTTTTGCCTAGTGTTGTTCATATCGAGAACTTCAGTAAGGAAGCATCACTCCATAAAATGGAATCTCAGTAGCCTGCCTTGGCTCTGTTCTGTAGTGTAAAACATATAGTCATTCTTCTTTTCCCTGCCTCAGCAATAGCACTACTTAAAATCCTGACTTGGATAATGGAAACTAAATGCATTTCCCTACACAGGACTGACAAAATGTGAGCCACAGGAGACAGATTCTATCTGCAGCCTTGACCAAAGCAGGGGAGTGTAAAGACTGGCTTTTAGAGCAATGTGATGTTTCTATGTGTTATTTCAATGGCATAGTTTGGAAGTGCTGTAATTCCATGAGTATCACTAAGAGGTTATGTGTGATGAAAAGCCCATAAATTAACTGCAGTGCAGGCTAAATACATGTGGTAGGAGGAGAGGAAGTTTGTTACAGGAGCACATCTACCTCTACCTCTCCTCATCCCCTCAAGCTCCTCAAATGCCATTTTTTTTTCTCTTGCTGCCCAGAGCTCTTCCATGTCTGCTTGTGATAATGCGGGGGTCATCCCAGCATGGTATGAAGTTTCTTTTTTAAGTACCTGAGCTTTTGAAGAGGTATTGTCTGAAGTACAGGCTTTACAGCTGTAATATGGTGTAGAAAGCTCAGAATCAGATTATTTTTGAGCAATCTGAATCATGAGCTGGCAGTAGTGTCAGCTCTAACTGACTTGCCCCTAAGTTCTCAGATTTGTGCTGTCATCTTTGTATCCATTTCGACAGTATCTGCCTTCATTACATACAAGCAGACAAATGCACCACTTCATTCAAGTTCACAGTAGCTTTATTAAAATTCAAACCCTTCTGTTTGCAGCATACATCAGATAAGACATTTATATGTATTCCTACAAGTTTGTGAAATACAGATTCCAGACATGGTTTGTTCTTACTCAGAGAAAAGCAAAGGAAAAAGCAAACCAGTTGTTTCAGGTTTGTCTAAAGTGAGGATGAAACTGAAGTAACTTCACAGATGTCAGTGGGTAGAATAAGTCTTCCCCAGGACAAGACAGAACAGGCTTATATTCCTAGAGTTACACTGAATTACTCCTCATCATCCCTTGGTGAGAGTATCCCGACATCATTGTAAACTGAGCTAATGCTGCAATAGTGTGTGTAAAAATAGAAGGCCCAAGAATCTTCTTCTCAATATTGCACTGATCAGGTGATAGCCTGAAGAATGAAATTAGTCTGCTTATAGATTATATAGATATGACTAATCATTAAATTATATAGCACCTTCTTAAAACCAGCACTCAATGCAGAACATTTTGATCTCCATCAGGATGGAGGTCTACACTCTTCCAGCTCTATGAGAGGTCAACTTCTTCCCTCCAGTATGTGAAACTATCTGTCATTCATCCTTGAATGCCAGACTGGTTAAGACAATAAGGAGGGAAAAGTATGTACACTGACTTTTAAATAAATATTAGCAAGCATTTCAGAAAACAGTGTAACAGAGTTCAGCCATAAAGTGAAGAGGTCAGCAGACATTTAACCAGTGATGAACAGATTCTGTGAGTTTGTGTTTGTTCAGAGATTTTATTACCACTTAATAAATACGAAATAAAAGCAGATGCTGAGGTTCTCTTCCCTGTTATCTGCAGCACTGATGATGATTCCAGCTGGTTGGCCTTAGATGCTTATCTAGGACAGGATTATTTGCGTTTGGCAGGGAGTTTTTCTTTTATCTTCTTCATAGCAGTCTGCACCCATTTCTGATCAGCACTTACGCAGATCTTGATACCATCTCTAGTGATAAACCTATAGGAAGAAAGAAAGCAAACCAAGCAGCCATTACATTCCAGCCTCTAAACCCAGATTTGCTGTTCTTGGTTTTCATGCAGAACATGGGGAAAAATGTGGTTATACCATATCAAACTCTGGACTTTGTAGATGTTAGCTGGAGCAACAGAAGCAAGTGATGTTAGTTCCTATTCATGGCATAGGTATATATGTAACATACATGTCATGTGCATATATATTAATATTAAAAAAGGAGCATATCAACTGTTCTGAGATTTTAGATGAAATCATGATGAACATTTACCTCCTAGGAGTAGATCCCAGATTTGATAAAAATGCATGCTAGTGAGCTGCAAAAGAGCAAACACAGTTCCTAGCAGGAGTCAGAGTTAGCCTATATTCTTTCACGTGATCTTTCCCCATGGCTCAATTCAGTGCTCTGGGTTTCTGACTGCTCCACCCTTGCTGAGACTTGCTGGCCACCAAAGATCTGAGTGTTCAATGAGCTTTCTGCCAATATCCATGAACAGCAGACATCTCCCAGCTCTCTGAGGCCCACTCATGTCCCCTCACTCCCTCAGCTGTTGGGTGAGTCCTTCATGGCAGGACTGGAAGGGTGACCTGAACTCAGCAGATTTGGTGAGTTGGGCCATGAAGTGTCTTGTGATGCCCCTTCCCTTTTCATTGGTAAAGTATTTGCACAGGCAAGTCTGAAGGTGAACAGTGCATGAGGTACTTACATGACGGCATTTGCTTGAGTGTGCTTTTCATAGCCTACAAGATTTCGGATGTTCAGTTTTCTTGTACGCAGATTTACACAACGGGCTTTGCGCATGGACTGACTTCCAGCACTCCCTGAAAGGGGAAGAGTAGATAGATGGAAAGGGGAATAAATGCCATATTTATATTTAGCCATAATTACTTAATAAATTATGAATTCAAGAAGGTGTCCAGTTGTAGTTAGAACATGAGAGTCTCATGATTTGCAGTCACTATATCTCTTCTACAAGAGAGCTTAAGCTATTTTTTGTGATGCATCCTACCATCTGTAAAGTGTTATTGCTCTTTCAGTCAAGATACTAATCTTTACTTATTCACCTGAACAATTGTATAATAATTATGCCCCTAGGGAGTCCCTGCCTTCTTTAGAGGAAAAGGTATATCTGGGTTTTTGTCAGCTGCAAATAAGTGTCCATATGGAGTAGTGCTTAGAACTGCCACCTCTACTGGGTGGATTTCCATATGGCATCTGAATGTGCATCAGTAATTCCCCCTACTTTCCACGTGAGGAAAGGAAAGCAAGGCTAGTTCTCTCACAGTGGACATCCAGATGTAGTGTTGAAAATAGTTGTTGAAAGAAAAGGAGGTATATCTGCCAGAAGGACTAAGTACCTATATACCTTGGTATAAGTCTGGTTTCACAGGGAATGGAGTGCTACTTAATCCTAGCTTTCCTCAAAGGTTTCCATACCACTGGGGGAAATGGACTGGTGATTAATAAAGAGGATCATGGCATTGGTGTAAAATTTTTTGGTCAATTGGTATCTTACATAATGATAACTCAAAATGGGAGCTCATATAAATGAGATGGAGTATATGGATACATATGTGTGTAAGTCTCTGCTTGCTAGTTTTGGGTTTTCTCTCTCTCATGAAAGACATGTTGGGGAAGTGTAAGTGTAGAAGACACCTTCAGAAGAGCTGTAACGAGATTAGGGTTTATTTCCCTTGAAAAAGCTTTTGTGACTGAAGAGAGAGGTATCTTTCCTAGAGACAGTTTTAGATGTTTTCTTCTGCATTGCAGAGAAGCTCTGCCTGGTATGAGAAAAGATAAGTCCTTGGGGACAAGTTTGAAGGACCCCACAATGAAGGGGGCGGGGGAGGCAGAGACAATGAAAGCCCTAAGAAGAACAGAAGGTGTGGCTGCCTTTTCCTAGGCCAGGTGCAGATATGTGGTCTTGACTTTGAAAAAAAATTCTCCTAAATCCTTCCACAGCCTGGTATTTTGGTGGTACCTGAGTACCTTTGACCCTTACAGGAAGGCATGAGGGGAGACAAAAAGAACACTGCTGCACTCTGAGGTTTCTTTTTAAAGAATTTATCGACAGACTGACTTGAATAAAGTCCAAAAGCTGTTCAGGTGCACCTTGCATAACCTCATTTTCTGTGAGTTTTTCTTTGTTTGAAATTGTTGGAATAGCTGAGACAAACACACATTAGCCCTTGGAGAAGCTGTAGCATAGTCAGTGCACAGGTACTGGCAGAGTTGCTAATTCTTGAGGTTTTGTTTGCCTGAAGGTTTTGATGACTCTTCTGATCATGCTTTAATCACAAGTAACACAATGTATTTTTTTTTATGCTTCATTTCAAATACCTTACTGTCCCTGTCTGGTTTTCAAAATGTGGCATCAAGAGAGTTCAGAGATATTCTAGCCATTCTTACTCATCCTGGAAATATTTTCTCTGCTAGTTCACTATTTTCAGGGAATGGATGCAGGGAATACCAGCAGAGCTTCTCTAAGCCTGGGAATAAAACCCCAACTGCTCTGCACCTGAAAAGCTACCAGAAAGAATGATGAAGAAAACAAATACACCTGAAAAGTTACGCTTTTTCAGATGTATTTGTTTTCTTTATCATTCTTTCTAGTCCTTTTTCTACTGCTTGTAGACCAGCTCAGTGGGCTTTTTCGGCCTAGTTGATGTTTATGGTAAATTCTACAACCTGGAGAATGACACTGGGAACTGTCAGTCTGTGAGGCAAACCCAGGTGTTGCCAAGATGAAGAACAGTGTCGTTAATTTGAGAAAGCGTGTGATCCAGCTATAGCACGCTGGGTCAGCATACTCAGTGTGTAGCTTCCTAATGTTGTGAATGCTTAGCAGGTGTCAGTTTAGTTTTAGTGTGGTTTTGTGAAGATACCATATCTTTGTGTTTCTCTCTGCATGTTTGTGGGTTTGCATATGGCTTGCATGAGTGTTTTTCTGTGATTTTTACATGCTCGTTTGCATGAATTTGATTTTATTTGTGATAAGAATATGTGTGCTTGTGGGTATATCTCCATGTTTTCCATGATCTCATAGCCTAATCCAAAAGTCACTGACGTAAACACCACTGTAGAGAGACTTATTTAAAGCATGGCTAATAAACATGGCTCATCTCAGTGCTCATAAATGGTCTCAATTAAGATGTTAAATTGTATGGTTTTATGAAGAGAGGGAAATTGTCTAAATCCATTACTGCCCTTTTTAGTTTTTGTTCCTGGTTTACCTGTCTGTACCAAAAGATTTGTCTAGACACAAGCAAATAGGCAACATGTGATCCAGGACTGGAAGAACTTTTTTAAATAGGGACATTAGAAGGATTCAAGCTATACAGTTAAAGAAACACAAATAACAAATAATACTATTCATATAAAAGTAGTGTATCTGGAAAAAGAAAAATGTACATCTAATTCAGAAATCATTTTTCATAAAATGTTGTTAATCTCCAGTACTCATTGCTATATGGCATCAGTGAGATTAAAAGACATTGTGTCTTCAGGATTTCATGATTTTAAGAGAGAAAATTATAGACAGAAAGCCTTTAAGTGCTCTAAGGCACTGAAAGTCTCCTTCCCTTAAAGCAGAAGTCCACCATTAATTGTCAGGACATCAGATGAAATCTCCCATAAAGCTGCCTTTCTTATGGTTCTGATCTGGATTTCCTATGCGTTTTATCTTATAAATCAGCTCTGTCTGAGAATGAATCCTGCCCATCAGACCACAATGTGGTGCAATTCATGTCTTCCTCTGGGACTGCAAACTTACCTTTTGCTGTGTGCACAGTGAAGATGCCAAGGCAGAGGATGACAAGGATAGCTGCAGCGTGGAGCTTCATTGCTGGTGCCTTCTGTGTCAAGGTGGAGGAGAAAGTGGCTGTTGTCTGCCCTCTTTCACAGAGTTTATATATTGTCATTCAGTGGTCAGTTCTTGGGTTCACTTTTGTGGGTGTCATGGAGGGCCTGACTGGGAGTGGAAACACTGAGTGTCAGTACTTTTTCTGGTGACAGAGAACCACCTCCTTTCCCCCCATCCTTCACTAGCCCCCCTGTGAAGGCTTTTCCTGCTCAAACCCACTGTGGTTGCACTTGCTTCTGTGTTGTGAGTAGGGTTTATTTCAAGCTGCAAAAAGTGAGAGCTCTTGTTCTGTAGTGGAAACCTTTCAGAAAATTTCCTGTCCTTTCACACCTCGATTTTGAGACCTTTAGCTGAGCCACACTGCAGAGGCACAGAGTAACATTCAGTTACCTCTGACCAGTGGACCACAGTAGGGGGAACTGTGAGCTAGGATAGAAAGGAGGATGGAAAGAGGAACGTCTTGGCTCTTTCCAGAGTGGCTGAGGATAGTTGGTCACGTTAACGTGGAGCTTTGGAGGGATATCACTGCTATTTTCCTGTGAGTGGTGAAGGTTGTCAGAACTCTTGTGTTTGCTCTGTGATTTGATATGGCCCAAGCTGATATCACCATGTGCTGGGAGGAGCAAGAGTGAACACACTTTTGCCTACAGCTCCAGATCTACTAGATCTCCTGCCAATCAGGCATTAGTACAGTGGTCTCAAAGAGGAATAAGATTTTATAGAGGGTAGTGTCAGACTTGTTTTTTGTTGTTTAGTTTGTGGTGTTTTGTTTGTTTATTTTTGGGGAGTTTTATGGGTGTTTGTTTGTTTGTTGTGATGGTGTCTTTCTAGCATAAAGAATGGACCCAAGAAAATAACCAGAGGTAATTATAGAAAGAGAGGCAAAATTTATAGAAAGGAAGAAAAAATTTCATTGCACTTCCATTTAAACATGCTTTTGATAGCAGGTCTGTCAGCTTGTTACAATTGTACCTCTATCAAAAGTGCCCATTTTTGCAGTCTGTGCCAGCCCTATCACCCAGGTTTAGGTGTCCTGTCCACATTGTGGCAGGGTGGTTTGAATGGGCAACATTCCCACATGCCAATGGTTTGGACCTGCAAATATTCTTCAGGCCAGTTGTGGACATCCAGGCCACACAGAAAGCAGCACCTGAGCTGGCATCATGATCCAGAGCATTTGAGCAGAGATCCCCTCTCATGCTTTACACTCTGCAGCCTGGTAGAAAAAGTCAGGCTTTGCTAGGCCCTTGGAGATGCAGCTGGTCTTGGTGTGAATAGGTGAGCACTAGGCTGCCTGATGCCTGAGATTGTGACAACGGTGTAGAAGAGCTGTCAGAGCAAAGTGTTCTAATTTCAGCTGGGATTGAGGTAATTTTTTTCTTAGTAGGTGGCATAGTGGTGTTACTTTGAATTCAGCAAGAGAATAATGTTGATAACACATGGATCTTTCAGTTGTTGCTAAGTAGTGCTTACCGTAAATCAGGGACTTTTCAGTTTCTTGTGTCTAGCAAGCAATTGCACAGGAAACTGGGAGGAGCATGACCAGGACAGCTGACCCCAAGTGACCAAAGGGATATTCCATACCATAAATTGTCATGCTCAGTACATAAACTGTCCAGGAGCTCGGATGGCTGGTTGGGGGTGGGCTGGGAATTGACCAGTGGTTGGTGAGCAACTGTAGTGTGAATCAACTGTTTCTCTTGGATTTTAATCCTCTCCATCTCTCCCTTTCATCTCAATTATTACTGTTAATCTTAGTAGGAGTATTATATTTTATTTTGTTTCAGTTATTAAACTGTTCTTATCTGAACACATGAGGTTTACTTTTTCCACTTCTTCTCTCCCCTGGAGGTGGGGCAGGGTGGTGGTGACCAAGTGGCTGTGTGGTATTGAGTCTGTGGCTGGGGATAAACCACAACAGCAAGTATGATGTTTCCCTTGCTCTTACCCCCAGGCCTTGCCTCAGCTGGTTACTTCCAGTTTTCCAAATGCTTGATAACATCAATATAAATTCCTCTGCATGGGAAAACGGCAGCATGTGGAAGTCAGTTCCCAAGGATTCCTCAGGCAAATTAGGATTGAGCTAAGAACTGCCCTCAAATACATGACCCTCAGGCTGTAATGGTTGGTCTGCAACCTCAGGAGTAGTCTGTAATTCTTGCAGGTAGAGCACATGTTGTGTGGTTTATTTGTATGTATACTCGTATCCTTTGTTCCTATTGGTTTCATTCTTTCATCTTACATAGCCTGTGGAAAAACAGGGAAAGCCAGGGAAAAGCAATGGCAGGCAGAATTGCTTTAATTGAATGCCTGCTAAACCCACTTGCAGCACTAGGGAAGTTGCAATGAAATGGAAGCCAAAGCTTCAACCAAAGCCCCAAAAGGACATGCCTGATGCTACACAGGGAAGTAACCATACTGACCTCAGCTACACTACTGGGAACTCTGTGTTGTGTCCAAGCAGCCTGGTGCTGTGCTACATACGGACTGAAATCAGTCCTTGGATCAGTTATTCTAACTATTTGGTACTTGTCAGCTATGAAATGCCAGATAGCAATCTTGCCATTGATGATGATGATAAGTTTTCTACCCATTGAGAGAGAATATCCCCCAATTCTTACATGGGACCTTTGGAGCAAGGAGGAGCCAAAGAGTGAGTGTTAAAATTCCCTGAGCAGATTCTGTATTAATTGTAAGGGTGGATGTGAGTTTCTTCACTGGTGTGGAATTTCGTGAGTAATTGGTGAAATTATTGGTCAAGAACAGGTATGCAGCCTGGTCAGTGGAAGGTGCATGTAGAGGAGATGTGGAGCCCCTGTGAGGTGGGGAGGCTTGAGTGTCTCCTACAACACAGATGGGTTTGGGAAACCCATGCTTGGAGAGGCTTCTGTCCCTCATACTGTGCAGGGAGTGGTAGAGTCCCTTGGTGCACACAGAAGGGAGGTTGAAGTCCCTTTTTTTTTTTTTTTTTTTAATCAGGTAAAAAGGGTTTTCAAGTCCCTCTTAGTGTTTGAAATGAAGGGAAGTAAACCTGGCATCAATAAGGGGATGCTCTTGGCCGAGGTTGTGCAAAATTAGGATAAATTGTTTGGTACAGCAGGATTTTGCAAAGAGCATGCAGTGATGTTGTGCCAGCAGGATTGGCCAGCTATACCTTGGTCTGCTAGCTCAGCAGGACAATGGCTGTCACAAATCTTCAATGGCACACTTGCAGTGTCTTTGTAGATCAGGCAGTCCCCGAAATCAAGAGATATTTTAAGAAGCACATGCCAGTGTGGCAGGGACCAAGACAGATATGGGACTGTTGGTCCCCAAAGGGAGGAGTGCCACCTGACATGAGACAGGACTCTATTCCCTAGGAAGGCAAGAAGAGTATTGGAAGCAGACAAAGTCCCACCCACTGTGAGAGAAGACCCTATTCCCCTGGAAGCCAAGAAGAGTATCCAGAAGCAGATAGACTGATACTTAGCCCAAGGGTTTTTGAGGCATTCCATTAGATGAAGAAAGTCAGCCTTTGTTTGCCTTCACCTGGAAAAGACAGCAGCTGACTGGGACACATCTTGTCCCAGGTTTTGCCAGATCCCCTACCATTTTTTCATGAATATTGGAGTTGATTTAAAGGGTATGAAATTACTGTGAGGATTGTTTCTTCTACAGTGTGTGGATGATTTGTTATTATCAAGTAGTGATGAGAATGCTTGCATATTAGACACTATACATTTATGTATTGCCCTAGTGAAAAGGGGACACAGTGCATCTCCATCCAAACTTCAGCTGGGTCAAAAGAAATTTAAATATTTAGGCTTTATTTCAGGAAAATGGCAATGGATAATAGATCTGGAGAGAACAGAGGCCATAATTAAGTTCCCAGATCCAGTGATCAAGAAAAACCGAATGAAAAAACCCACAAAACCAAAAAAAAAAACCCCAACCAAACAAAAAACCCCCAAACCAACTAGATATGAGAGAACAAACTTTAAAGCTATAAAAGGAGCTTTAGTGTCTGCTGCTCCTGCTCTTGGCCTCCCAGATCCTTTAATCTGTATGTACATAAATGTAAAGGGATAGCTAGTGGAGCAGTAATGCAGAATTTAGGACCCCATGAGAAACCAGTGGCATATTATTCAATTGAGCTAGATCCAGTTGCAGCAGGAGCACCAGCGTGTAATACTTCAGTGGAAACAGCAGCAAAACAATATTAGAAAAGAGCTGCCCCTTATCCTGGGACATTATGTAACATTCCATGTTCCCTGAGAGGTGGAAATACTGGTGAGGAATTACGCAGCCCAAGCTTTGACACCACAGTGGGCACATAGGTATGAACTGATCTTCCTAAACAGCAAATAGTGTAGCCTTGAAAAGATGTAACATCTTGAATCCAGTGAGCCTGATGCCTCTGCCTGATGATGGAGAACATCACCAGTGTAAGCAAATTATACATATCCCAAGTAAACCACAGACTGATTTAACTGATGTTCCCTCACATAACAATCTAGTTCTAACTGCAGATGGCTCATCCAACCTACTGTAGCCTGCAAGGACAGTGTTGGTCTGGGTATGCTGTTGTGAGCAGGGGACAGGGAATAGAAGCACAACCACTCCCAGCAAGGATGGGCACACAAGGAGCAGAGCTAGTAGCTTTGACACATGCAGCCATCTGGGAAAAGGGAAATGAGTTAACCTCTAGACAAATCAGACAGAGGTGCTCATTTTAGAGTGAATATAATTGAACAGCTGCATCAGAGAGAAAATTGCATAAACCATATAACCCACAATCTTCAGGACAAGTAGAAAGGATGAATAGGACATTAAAAGATAGCAAAAATATACACAGGGACTAATCTTAAATGTCCAGAAACCTTCAACTTGGCTCTTTGGGATCTCTAGAATACTGCAAGACAATCTGTAGGACTAACACCAGCAGAGATTCTCCTTGAGAGGCATTTAACTACACCAGGGACTTATATCCCAGCTCAGATCAGCCTGTTGGAAGGAGATGAACAGCTGACCCAGTATACTATATATATGCAGAGAGGGTTTGAAGGGTGGAGAAAGTATGTACAATAGGATCAGCCCAGCCCACCTTTAATACAAGTACATTATATACAACCTGGGGATGAAGTGTTAGTCAGGATATTCTAAATGGAAGGACCATATACTGTCTTACTGTGTTGTTATTTTGCTGTTAAAGTTTTGGGTAAGGATAACTAGATTACCATTCTTTAATTAACCAAGTAGTGTATGCTCAACCAGTTGGTCAAAAAAGTTCCTTTTGAGAATCTTGCATGATTGTATCTTGATAATAATTTCTACCATATAATCTTGTTAATCTTGTTAGCCTTAACCCTGCTATGTTCTTTACTTGCAATAATGTTATAAGGCAAATGGTTGAATGTCTTGAAAGCTGTCTTTTCCCTATGATGGTCTTGTCAGCTAAATTGTTCTGTTTGTTGCTTGTTATATAAGGGCAGTGGATAAATGCCTTTAAAGTCTGTTGGATTCTTTCCTTTTAGTGTATTAGCAGGTGAGCTCAATTAAAACAAAGGGAGGACTGTTGAGGAATACGCCTGGTGCAGGTAGCCTGGTTTGCAAGCTGCAGATTGAGATGCAGATGGAGCTCTGAGTGGGAGCCTGAGACAAGAGGCCAGGAACTGCCAACCTTTCTGTTAGCAAACAGACAGGGTGACCAGCAAGGTGGAAAGATGCTGGGAGACACAGCAGGGGCAGAGGACTCAGGAGGAAGAGTGAGACTTGCACACGGGCAGACTCTGAGGGTATAAAAGCCCAGGGGTTCCTTTGGTGGGGGTCCTCCTCAGAGGCACCAGCTCAGGCTGCTGCTGTGTTCCTGTGCTGTGAATAAACTACTTTATGGAATAAGACATCTGACACTGTGCTATGGGAAATTTGGGATTGAAATGTTAAGGAAACACCTGATCTGAATGAGTGTGGCTGGGGTGTGCAGAGTTCAAAAGGGGCACCAGTTGGCTCACTGGAGCTGCTGTGAAGGGGCTTCAGTCCCATTAGTTAAAGTCTTCAGTGCTGGGAGTGCATATGCCTGAGAGTCTTGTGAATTGTCAGCCTGGGAAGTTTCCTTAACACTGGAAGCTTCTTTTAAGTCATGGATTTCCTTTTGGCTTGTCACCTGAGGATCAAAAATGAAAGAAATGAACCAAAACATGGAAAAATAGAGAAGCAGCTCCATTTTCAGTCTCATGCAGTCAAACTAACTTTTAGCTTTCTTCCTATTGTTATACATGTGTTTGGTCAACATACTTTCTTTTTCATTTTAGGAAATCATTCTGTTCTCTCACATAGATATAGATACAAAATTATGTGAAAAAATACATAAAATTGGTATATGAATGGACTGCAGTAGTTTCTTGCATTACAGATTAGAGGTCTGTCAGCAGCTCTTTTCTGGAGATACCTGAGACTTGATGTATGTTTAGAGAATCCACTAAATAGAAGGAAAGGAAATGTTGTTTTATACTGCTTGAACTACTTGTGTAGTACTTAGGATATTTTTAATTAGATGTCTTGTTATATAAAGCAATAATAAAGACCAGAGCGTGGCAGATTGGAGCCTTTTCCAAGACTCAGGAATGACTTGGAATGAAGACTTTTGCTCTGTTCTTAGGCCTAACACTTACTAGTAGTTCAACAACCAAAGTGTCACTCAGCTTCTGTGCCATTTTACTTATGACATGATGATAGGTAAGATTTATCAATACCTAATTGCCGGAGTTAACATAAAGTATTAACAGATGTTCATGATACAACCAGATACTCTCAGGTAGGAAAAGCTATCAAAATACGAAGTTTTGCAGCTAGAGGCAGTGAAAACTCAATATTATTATGGGTACCCTTCTGTTTTGGCTGGTGCACAGGGTCTGTGGGTGTGTGGTGCTGGTTTCTCTGTGATGAGTGACTGTGCTTGAAGTGCTCGCCTGTCTTGTACACTCTATTATTAACATAATTGTTGTAACTGGTTATTTTCTGATTTCATTGCTCTTTCTAGTAAACCATTCTTATTTCAACCTGTGATCCTTACCTTTTGTGTCTCCAATTCTCTTCCCCATCCTGCCAAAGGAGTAGTGGGAAGTGGAGTAGGTGAGTGGTGCCTGGTCTTGGGTGTTTCACTGGTAAGACTAAATTGGGAAATACCATTCCTAGACGATGCTGACCTTTGGTCTATTTTCTTCATAGCAGCCTGCACCCATTTCTGATCTGGGCTTACGCAGATACTGATACCATTTCTAGTGATAAACCTATGGGAAGAAAGAAAGCAAACCAAGCAGCCATTACATCCCACTTTCTAAACCCAGATTTGCTGTTCTTGGTTTTCATGCAAAACGTGGGGAAAAATGTGGTTATACCATATCAAATTCTGGAGTTTGTAGATGCTGGCTGGAGCAAGAGATGTTAGTTCCTATTCATGGCATAGCTATATGTGTAACATACATGTCATGTGCATGTATACTAATATTAAAAAAGGAGCATATCAACTGTTCTGAGATTTTAGATGAAATCATGATGAACATTTACCTCCTAGGAGTAGATCCCAGATTTGATGAAAATGTATGCTAGTGAGCTCAAAAGATCAAACACAGTTCCTAGCAGGAGTCAGAGTTAGCCTATATTCTTTCACATGATCTTTCCCCATGGCTCAATTCAGTGCTCTGGGTTTCTGACTGCTCCACCCTTGCTGAGACTTGCTGGCCACCAAAGATCTGAGTGTTCAATGAGCTTTCTGCCAATATTCATGAACAGCAGACATCTCCCAGCTCTCTGAGGTCCACTCATGTCCCCTCACTCCCTCAGCTGTTGGGTGAGTCCCTCATGGCAGGACTGGAAGGGTGACCTGAACTCAACAGATTTGGTGAGTTGGGCCATGAAGTGTCTTGTGATGTCCCTTCCCTTTTCATTGGTAAAGTATTTGCACAGGCAAGTCTGAAGGTGAACAGTGCATGAGGTACTTACACGATGGCACTTATTGGTATATGGTGCTTTTCATAGCCTACAAGATTTTGGATGTTCAGTTTTCTTGTACGCAGATTTACACAACGGGCTTTGCGCATGGACTGACTTCCAGCACTCCCTGAAAGGGGAAGAGTAGATAGATGGAAAGGGGAATAAATGCCATGTTTATATTTAGCCATAATTACTTAATAAATTATGAATTCAAGAAGGTGTCCAGTTGTAGTTAGAACATGAGAGTCTCATGATTTGCAGTCACTATATCTCTTCTACAAGAGAGCTTAAGCTATTTTTTGTGATGCATCCTACCATCTGTAAAGTGTTATTGCTCTTTCAGTCAAGATACTGACCTTCCCCTGTTCACCTGAACAATTGTAAAACAATTCTGCCCCTAGGGAGTCACTGCTTCTGTAGCAGAAAAGGTATTTGGTGTCATTCATGTTTGAGTCTGTTTCATCTGCAAGTAAGTGTCCATATGGAGTAGCACTTAGAACCGGCACATTTTCTTGGTGGATTTCCATATGCCATCCAAATGGGGATCAGTAACTCCCCCTACTTTCCAAGTGAATAAAGAAAGAGGAATTCAAGGCTACTTGTCTCATAGTTGACATGTGAAAGCAGCATTGAAAAATATTGTTTAAAGAAAGGGAGGTTTATCTGCCAGAAGAACTAAGTACCTATATACCTTGCTATAATTCTGGTTTCACAGGGAATGGAGTGCTACATAATCCTTGCTTTCCTCCAAAATTTTCATAGAATTGAGGGAAATGGACTGGTGATTAATAAAGGGAATCATGATATCAATGTAAAATTTTCTGAGTAGTTGTGATCTTAAAGGATGGTAACTCAAAACGAAAGCTCATTTAAATGAGATGGAGTATATGGATACATATGTGTGTAAGTCTCCACTTACTAGTTTCTGGTTTTCTCCCACTCATGAAAAACAGTTTGGGAAGGCATGAGGGGTACAAGCAGAACACTGCTGCACTCTGAGGTTTCTTTTTAAAGAATTTATTGACAAACCGGTTTGAATAAAGTCCAAGAGCTCTTCAGGTGCACCTTGCTAAATATAAAACCTGCTTCACATAATCTCATTTTCTGTGAGTTTTTCTTTGTTTGAAATTGTTGGAACAGCTGAGACAAACACACATCAGCCTTTGGAGAAGCAGTAGCATAGACAGTGCACAGGTACTGGCAGAATTGCTAATTCTTGAGGTTTTGTTTGCCTGAAGGTTTTGATGGCTCTTCTGATCATGCTTTAATCACGAGTAACACAATGTATTTTTTTTTATGCTTCATTACCAATACCTTACTGTCCCTTTCTGGTTTTCAAAATGTGGCATCAAGAGAGGTCAGAGATATTCTAGCCATTCTTACTCATCCTGGAAATATTTTCTCTGCTAGTTCGCTCTTTTCAGGGAATGGATGCAGGGAATACCAGCAGAGCTTCTCTAAGCCTGGGAATAAAACCCCAACTGCTCTGCACCTGAAAAGCTACCAAAAAGAATGATCAAGAAAACAAATACACCTGAAAAGTTACGCTTTTTCAGATGTATTTGTTTTCTTTATTATTCTTTCTAGTACTTTTTCTACTGCTCATAGACCAGCTCAGTGAGCTTTTTCAGCCTTGGTGATGTTTATGGCAAATTCTACAACCTGGAGAATGACACTGGGAACTGTCAGTCTGTGAGGCAAACCCAGGTGTTGCCAAGATGAAGAACAGTGTCATTGATCAACTATATGAGAAGGTGAACGATCCAGCTATAGCACGCTGGGTCAGCATACTCACTGTGTAGCTTCCTAATGTTGTGAATGCTTAGCAGGTGTCAGTTTAGTTTTAGTGTGGTTTTGTGAAGATACCATATCTTTGTGTTTCTCTCTGCATGTTTGTGGGTTTGCATATGGCTTGCATGAGTGTTTCCTTTTTTTTTTTTTTTATTTAATGTGCTCGTTTGTGTGAATCTGATTATGATATGATGTGTTATCTAAAGGATGTATCTCCACGTTTTCCATGATCTCATAGCCTAATCCAAAAGTCACTGACGTAAACACCACTGTAGAGAGACTTATTTAAAGCATGGCTAATAAACATGGCTCATCTCAGTGCTCATAAATGGTCTCAATTAAGATGTTAAGTTGTATGGTTCTATGAAGAGAGAGAAGCTATTGTCTAAATCCATTACTGCCCTTTTTAGTTTTTGTTCCTGGTTTACCTGTCTGTACCAAAAGATTTGTCTAGACACAAGCAAATAGGCAACATGTGATCCAGGACTGGAAGAACTTTTTTAAATAGGGACATTAGAAGGATTCAAGCTATACAGTTAAAGAAACATAAATAACAAATAATAAAATAACATTCATATAAAAGTAGTGTATCTGGAAAAAGAAGAAAAATGTACATCTAATTCAGGAATCATTTTTCATAAAATGTTGTTAATCTCCAGTACTCATTGTTATATGGCATCAGTGAGATTAAAAGACATTGTGTCTTCAGGATTTCATGATTTTAAGAGAGAAAATAATGCACAAAAAGCCTTTAAGTGCTCTAAGGCACTGAAAGTCTCCTTGCCTTAAAGCAGAAGCCCACCACTAATTGTCTGCAAACTTACCTTTCGCTGTGTGCACAGTGAAGATGCCAAGGCAGAGGAAGACAAGGATAGCTGCAGTGTGGAGCTTCATTGCTGGTGCCTTCTGTGTCAAGGTGGAGGAGAAAGTGGCTGTTGTCTGCCCTCTTTCACAGAGTTTATATATTGTCATTCAGTGGTCAGTTCTTGGGTTCACTTTTGTGGGTGTCATGGAGGGCCTGACTGGGAGTGGAAACACTGAGTGTCAGTACTTTTTCTGGTGACAGAGAACCACCTCCTTTCCCCCACCATCCTTCACTAGCCCCCCTGTGAAGGCTTTTCCTGCTCAAACCCACTGTGGTTGTACTTGCTTCTGTGTTGTGAGTAGGGTTTATTTCAAGCTGCAAAAAGTGAGAGCTCTTGTTCTGTAGTGGAAACCTTTCAGAAAATTTCCTGTCCTTTCACACCTCGATTTTGAGACCTTTAGCTGAGCCACACTGCAGAGGCACAGAGTAACACTCAGAGTTACTTCTTTGACCAATGGACCACAGTAAGGGAGAACTGTGAGCTAAAGGAGGATGGAAAGAGGAACGTCTTGGCTCTTTCCAGAGTGGCTGAGGATAGTTGGTCACGTTAACGTGGAGCTTTGGAGGGGTATCACTGCTATTTCCTGTGAGTGGTGAAGGTTGTCAGAACTCTTGTGTTTGCTCTGTGATTTGATATGGCCCAAGCTGATATCACCACGTGCTGAGAGGAGCAAGAGTGAACACACTTTTGCCTACAGCTCCAGATCCACTAGGTCTCCTGCCAATGAGGCATTAGTGCAGTGGTTTCAAAGAGGAATAAGATTTTATAAAGGGTCATGTTAGAGCTGGTGGTTGGGGGCTTTTTGTTGTTGTTTTTTCTGTTTTATTTTTTAGGAGATTGTTTGTTTGTTTTGGGTGATGTTTTTGTTTGTTTCCTTTGTTTTTCTGATGTGGACTTTTTAATAGAAAGAATGGAGTCCTAGAAAGCAACCAGGCAATCAGAGAGGCAGAATTTATAGCAAAGAAGAAAAATTTGAGTTGTGTTTTCTTGTAAACATGCTTTTGATAGCAGGTCTGTCAGCTTGTTACAATTGTACCTCTATCAAAAGTGCCCATTTTTGCAGTCTGTGCCAGTGCTGTCACCCAGGTTTAGGTGTCCTTTCTATGTTGTGGCACGGTAGTTTGAATGGGCAGCATTTCTTCATGCCAATTATTTTGCACCTGCAAATATTCTTCAGACCAGTTGTGGACGTCCAGGCCACACAGGAAGCAGCACCTGAGCTGGCATCATGATCCAGAGCCTCTGAGCAGTAATCCCCTTTCATGCCCCTGTCTGCAGCCTGGTAGAAAAAGCCAGGTTTTGCTAGGCTTGCGGAGATGCAGCTGGTCTTGGTAGGAATAGGTGAGCACCAGGCTGCCTGATGCCTGAGGTTGTGAGGCAGTGGTCTGGAACAGCTCTCAAGGCATGACCAGGAGCAATCATGTGAGTGTCCTGGTTTTGGATGGGATAGAGATAATTTTCTTCCTGATAAGTGCAACAGTGCTGTGTTTTGGATTCAGCAGGAGAATAATACTGACAGCATGTGGATGTTTCAGTTGTTGCTTTTCAGTGAGCAGGTCCACAGGAAACTGGGGGGGAGCATGACCAGGACAACTGACCCCAACTGACCAAAGGGACATTCCATACCATAAATTGTCATGCTCAGTACATAAACTGTCCAAGAGCCACTGATGGCTGGTTGGAGATGGGCTGGTATCAGTCAGAGGATGGTGAGCAGTTGTACTGTGGATCAGCTGTTTCTCTTAGATTTTATTCCTCTTCATCTCTCCCTTTCATTACAATTATTGTTGTTATTCTTATTGGTAGTGTTGTATCTATTTTGTTTCAATCATTAAACTGTTCTTATCTGAACACATGAGGTTTACTTTTTCCACTTCTTCTCTCTCCTGGGGGTGGGGCAGGGGATTGATGTGTGAGTGGCTGTGTGGTATTGAGTTTGTGGCTGGGGATAAACCACAACAGCAAGTATGATATTTCCCTTGTTCTTATCTCCAGGTCTTGCTTCAGCTGGTTACTTCCAGTTTTCCAAACTCTGTAAATTTCTTTCCATAGGGAAACGGCAGCATGTGGAAGTCAGTTCCCAAAGATTCCTCAGGCAAATTAGGATTGAGCTAAGAACTGCGCTCAAATACATGACCCTCAGGCTGTAATGGTTGGTCTGCAGCCTTAGGAATAGTCTGTAATTCTTGCAGGTAGAGCACATGTTGTGTGGTTTATTTGTATATACACTCATATCCTTTGTTCCTATTGGTTTCATTCTTTCATTACATATCCTGTGGAAACCAGGGAAAGCCAGGGAAAAGCAATGGCAGGCAGAATTGCTTTAATTGAATGCCTGCTAAACCCACTTGCAGCACTAAGGAAGTTGCAATGAAATGGAAGCCAAAGCTTCAACCAAAGCCCCAAAAGGACATGCCTGATGCTACACAGGGAAGTAACCATACTGACCTCAGCTACACTACTGGGAACTCTGTGTTAAGTTTGTGTACAAGCAGCCTGGTGTTGTGCTACATATGGACTGAAATCAGTCCTTGGATGAGTTATTCTAACTGTTTGGTACTTGTCAGCTATGAGATGCCAGATAGCAACCTTGCCACTGATGGTGAAGAGAGGTTTTCTACCCATTGAGAGACAAGATGCTCCCCCACTTCGGGTCATTGATGTGGTATGTACATGTATGTATATGCTGTCTACCAGCTGAATTGAGGATGAGCTAGATCAGAAAAACTCAGCCCTTCCAGGTTGTAGATTCTTCTGAGATGTTGCTAGAAAGTCTGTTGCTTCTTCAGTTTTCCAGAATCCTTCAGGTGGGATTGAAAAAACTGCCCTGTGGCAAGTTTTTCCCCCTCTTTCTACTACTCAGTCCTGTGGTTCTGTGTAGTTGGCTTATGCCCAGTAAAAGTTTCGTTTCAGAAAAGGGTTTTGTGGTGAGTTCCACAGCCCTGTCTGTGGATTTCTGTTGATCTCTGCTGTTCTAATGTTGTATTAGGCTCATTTTGCATGTGCTCTAACACCAGCGGGCTGCCAGTGTGTCAGGGCAAAAGCTTAACACAAGATAATAAGATGTATTGTCTTTGTGTTTTCTTGCTTTAGCTTGCTTTAAGCAAGCTTTTCTTGTTTAAAGTCATATAAAAAAACCAGCTAATAAGTGCCAAAGTGTTTTTTCCCATGATTGCTGCTCAACTCTGGATAAGTTGAATGCTAGTGATCCTTATCCTGGGCCTTGACTGCCTCCTGTATGGCTCAGTCATCACGGGCTGCACTCAAAGCAATCTGGAGGGAATCAAATGATTCTGGATCATTTGCAGCCTTTGATACATCCACATGCAAAGCGGAGGGTATGATTATGGAGCTCTCTAGTAGTTTGCAAATTCTGAGCTGTGGATAAAGATGACTGACTTTACAGCCTTGGGAGAGGATAGGAAGATCAAGCTCCTGCTAGAGGTGTTCTTCAGCCCCTGTTCACGTAGGGCAGCCTAACTCCATTTTACCAACACAGCAGCTGGGTCACAGAGAGCTGAAGGGACACACGAGACTGCTCATGCATGGCAGGAGGCAAAGCCATGGCCTGCTCTAGACAGCTCCAACTGCTGATTGCAGTAGCTTTCTTAATTTTTAACAGTGTCAAGAAATTTTTACCAAAATAATTGTTGCATATACCCTGTTTCAGGACAGCAACCCTGCTGAAGGAACAGAAATGTTCAGTGAGCAGGGTGTTGGGCCTAGTATCAAGCATTTACTTCTCTGGGTAAAGAGTTTGAAGTACTGGATTTTCTCATACTGTAGGCAGCTTTCAAAAAAAGAGAGGCAAATATCTCCACAAATAACTCAGTTCTTATGTACTCCTAGAAATGAGTGTCTTCAGCTCCTTGAACTTGAAGATGTGCCAGCAGTTCACTTAATAATTTTTGAAGACTAAATCAGGGCATTCATTAAATCCCCCTTTAGGAGGGGATTTAAGAGCCTCAGCTTACACACATCTGTATCACAGATAACTGGTTTTAGGGTGGAAATTGTCCCCATCCCCCTTCCCTCCCAAGGAGGTAAATATCTGTCTCTGTTATCTATAGAAGCAATCTGTGCACGTGTCTTATGCTGGACCCAGAAAGTAAGTGAAGTTATGTGGGATCTATGTGACCCCAATATATTTTGGTTTTGCATTGTTTCTTAAGAGTTCGAGTACTGGTTTAAGAATTACCAGCTCGTGACATCCAGCTGTGATATTTCCATGACCTTCCTCCCTCCTCTTCTTCCTTTGCTTTTCAATACTTTTGCTCTGTAGATTTCATGCTGATTTCATAGGTACCTAAAATAGCAGTTTATGTCCACTATTTTAATTTATGTTGTAATGGAGTAGAAACAAACACATGCATAGTGCTCACACGTTAGCTGAGAGCCAATGACTTTTAATCCAAATTGATGGCTTAAATCACATTTTTAATATCTACTGTTTTTCTTGGTTTGGGAGAACTTCTCCTTTAGAAATGTAACCCTATTAATAATACTTTCTCTTAATCATAATAGAATTTTTACTTGTAGACCATCTGTTTCCACTACTTCACTGCCAGCTTTTTCCTGCCAGCTTTTCCCTGCTCCTGCCATCTTCCCTTGATGTATTATGTGCTCTTATTTAAGTTAGTTGTATCAAAATCTTTGTTCAGTCATCCAGCTTGAACTAAAATTAGACTGAGAATGATTTGGGAGCTTGAAACAAACATAAAAAGGTCCCTTTACACAGTATAGACAACTCTACAGTTAGCTGCATGCAGACATGCACCTGTTTTGCTGATGTTTTAAGCTGACTCAACACAGATGTGGCATTTTCTTTATAGCAGAGGTCTTTGCTCTTTCTTTCATTCAGTGTTGTCCTGTTTTGGTTTATTTCGGTGAATTACACATTCACCCAGGATTTACAAGAGAAATACTCTGATCCTCATCTTTATAATCTTGGTCTTGTGAGTTTTGGTTCTTTGAGAGATGCATACTGGGAAGTTAACTAAACATCGAGCAATGCTATTGCTGCAGAGGACTACAGCTCAATTCTGTGAAAGTACCTAAATTTTGCACATATTGAAATGAGCCGAAATACCTTTGGGAATTTGT